GTGTTTTCATTACTTAATTTTTGCAACTAGAAAGAAATCCCACAAGCTTCAATACATTAATATGCAAGTTTTTCATTTCTGAGAAAAGGAAACAGTTTATTTTCCCAATGTCTCTGTATTTAGCTGTATTTTACTGCCAATGAAATGAGCAAATAATAATAAATTATCATTATTGTGACACTAAAAACTGAATACATGAAATTTCAGGATTAAAAATATCACCGGTTAGCGACACTATGTTTGGCTTTAATTTTTAGTTTTGTTTCGACATCTGCCTCTCTCGCTCCTCATCCCCCCTCAAAATCACAGTGGAAAAAATTAAATCAAGGCCAGGTTAGCCCATGCATGTTACGATCAAATGAAAAAAATGTTTCACTAGACAAAAACTGCTGAGACAAAGCGCAGATTATGCAAGATTTCCGTATAACCCCATACATTAATAATATTATGCATACAGCTTCTGTTCAAAGAAAACAAAAGGCAGAACAATAATAAAACTTTGCAAACGGAAAGCTAAATTTATTGATAACCTGAAGCCTTGCAAGTATTCTTTGACAAATCGGGAATTAAATAAACAAATCTTTAGTAATTTAGAACACACAAACCAGATAGCACGAGTAACAGAAATACCTTTACGCGTTATAATATTCCTAGCGATTACCATTTCAGATATCACTATATTCGAATCTTTGCCTTCCAACGGTACAGTCACAGTTTTCCGAACAATCAGACCTGAATTCTGTCCACCTTTTAGGTCTCAAACACTGACGAAAGCACTTCTCAGCCTCTACGAAGCCCTCAAAGGGTAACCATCTTTGTTTTAGAAGGAATAAACGAATGAGAGCGCACGTATGAACGCGCAATGGAATGCACCAATCAGCGATCGTTTTAGTTCGCTGTGTGCCAGGGTCTTCTCTCCTGCCGCCGCCATATTGGAAAGCGAGAAGACCCTGGGGACGAGGTTGTGACTGTTCATTCTCCCCACTTTCTCCCCACGTTGTCCTGCAAAGTCCTGCAGCTATGGTGAGTTGTTGAGCTGTTTCACGTAGTGGGGACTACGGAGAACCTTTTGCTCATATTTTGCCGTCTCGGTAATTCAAGAATCTCGTCTTTTCGTAAAAACGTTTTCAATTCACCTGCTTCAAGTGGGAGGGAAGCGAAATATGTAAGTTGTGTCTAATTTCTGCTCAGATTTATGCTTTTAATCTACCGTTGTGACTACAGTTTTATCCAGCTAAGCTCATATTTAAATAAGCTTAGCTGTTTATATGCAGAATTGACGGCTGAGGAAAAGAGAAATCATGCTGGTAATTTACTTTCTCTTCGCACTTGAAAAGTTTCAATGTTTGTTCGAACTGATTAGTGTGTCTTTCTACTCGTGTAACCTTTGTTTATGCGAGTTTTTGCATCGCATTTGCTGAATGAAAATGATGTAAACATCTTCGAGACAATCGAAACTTGGCATTTCAATACTTCAAACTACATCAGATCAGTAGTTGGAGAAGTCCATCTTCTAAATCCAATAAATGAGCTGTTACTATTTCTGTCTATTTCTTTAATATATGGGCGAAAAAAATAAAACCTGTGTAACCAAAACTTTGTTTACCAATTTCACCCGACGTATATTGCTTCCTTCAAGTATGGAAGAATTTGTTCATTGTTCTAAAGATAAGATCACATGCAAAACTGACTTGCATTTTTGTGAACTGTGATGAAAACAAGAAAATCTTTGCGTGTTGTTTCCCTCTGCGCCTTTTCTCTCATAGTTTACTGTCTGTAGTGCAATCTTAACATTCTATATTTGCACGACTCAACCCAGTGCTACAAACAAAGGACAAGGCTCGTCCAGCCGTGGTTCGTAGTCCGTAGTCTCCATATCTTAAACTCCCTATTATCTCAAAGATTCCTTACATTTTGTTGTTAGCTTCAGCAAAATACACCTCAATCCCTAAATTAAATAAGTCAATATTACTTTCTAACTTTTACGATTCACCACCTTTCGCTGTTAATAGAGTCAAAGCTGTTGAGATTATTGTTGCAAAACGGAAAACTGTTATCTCTTAATCGATAGAAATAGATGTCCCGGGTTTTAATTTCTGAGAAAGCGTTTTGTAGCTTTTTTGGCCATCCTCCTTTGTATTTTATGTAAACAATTTTAATCTCTAGCTGGACATGTTGATTTAGAACTGACTTTCAACAAAACAGGTACTGATTGTCTTGAAAATTCTGACAAGTGCCTTTTGTTTTGGTTATTTGAGCTCTCCAGGGACAACGCTTTTTAAATGAAATAGCCAAGTGCATGGTTATTGTTAAGAACATTCATGTGATCTTCATCATAGTGGAATATATTAAAGTGAAAAGTATGTATGAAAAGAGATAGAAGTTGGTGTGCTTGTAAAATATTGTAATGTTTTCTTAACAAAATTAGGTCAAGTTAATAGATTTATATTTGTTCTCTTGTCAAGATTAAGATTCACTAATAAGAAAGTGGCAGAGCTAGAGACTATGTAGCTCAAGTCTTAGGAGTTAACTGTTTCCATAATAGAACCCAATGGGAGGTCCCATGCCATGGCCTGTCCTAGGACTTATTAGGTTCATGTTACTATATACTTAACAGTTTTCGTGAGGCAGGTACAAAAGTCGGACCGGATCAACTCGGACCACCAGACTCCGGGTCGGATCGACTTGGACCAACTCGGATCGAATAAAAAAATAAAAATAAAATAAAATTGGACTCGGATCAACTCGGAGCAATCAAAAAAATTAAATTAAATCAGCAAAAACTGAAAGTTTAACCCATTTGGAGGGTAAAAAAGGCCAGATCATCCTTTTTTTTCTCCGTGGCTTTCAGGCACCATTTTGTTTTACTAGTGCCAGTTCCTCTCAGATCATGTTATAAACTTGAGGTTGTGGTTGCGTTACACGACGCGCTCTGTTTCACAGATATGGATGACCTCGAGGAAGGTAAAATCTCGACCATCTTTCTCAATGAATTAATGCTTCATTCCAAGAAAATGATAGTTTCAGTCGCCTAGAATATATATTTGCTTATTTTTTTATTTTATTGCAGCTTTTTGTCACAAAGCAAAGTTGAGTTGAGCGTGATCATAAGTTATGTGCATAATTTTTGATTAATAAGTGTACTGAATTATTTATGAGAAAAACATCAAAAGCCTGGTCTGTTGATCGCATTTAGATAGTGACCGAAGAGTGTTTGTTTGTTTGTTCCTCTTTGTTTTTTTTCTGCAGGACTTCTGAAACTTAATTTTAATGATACACTAGTGAGCAGCACACATACATTTCCAGTTTTCAACTTGGAAAGAGGAGAAACCATGCTTGCCCTGGACAAAGGAAATTTCCATGCCCGGCACGAATCGAACTCGCCACCCTCCGGTTCAGTGATTAGAACGTCCGATAAACATGTAGTATTCGGAGGGTCGTGAGTTCAATTCTCGCCCGGGGTACGAAAATTTTCGTTGTCCCGGGCGAGCATGGATTTCTCCTCCTTCCAAGTTGAAAACGTTCACTGGAAGTGTATGTGTGCTGCTCACTAGTGTATCATTAACATTAATAAAAATAAAAATAAAATTAATTTACGTAACCACGACTTCGTGCGAAAAAAAAACAAAGTGGTGGGTGAAAGTTAAGTGATACCGACTAATTTTATTTTTCTTTTCATAATCCGAGTTTTTTTTTTATGATCCGAGTTGATCCGAGTCCAATTTTATTTTATTTTTATTTTTTTGTTCGATCCGAGTTGGTCCGAGTCGATCCGAGTTGATCCGACCCGGACTGGCGGTCCGAGTTGATCTGGTCCGACTTTTGTACCTCCCTGTTTTCGTGACAGTTCTTGATTGCAACATTCAGAATGTTTTGTCCTTTTTACCTGGTCAAACAACTAAGATAAAATACTATCTATTAATTAAGAATGCCCATAGCAGTAAATCAATGCTATTGCCTGCATGAGACCTGGGGAACTGGTTCAAACGTCCCAATCAATATCTAATAAAACCCTTTATGCCCATAGCATTAGTTTTCAGAAGTTCTGAAGTAGTTCTGGAAGACAGAAGAGAATTCCATAAAATTAAAAATTTCAGACAAAGTTAGTAAATGTGTTTGAATGTTCACCTTTGAAATTGTGGTTACTGATGAATGTCAAAAAAAGTAAGGAAGTTTGTATGATTCAGTCAACTATTATATGGGGACGAGTTTAATCAGAGAGATGGGTTTAGGTTGCATGTATTCTCCTGACGTTGAGCACAACAACAATATATGGTGTGCTTCAGCAGAGCTAGGTCATGAAGACTTGCTTTTGTCTTCATGCAATAGGGAAACCTCAGTTCTTGCCATAAAAACGATCAACACAGGGCACTCGCTTTTATAACTTCAAAGCTTTAATTAGCCGTGCTACAATTTTTCTGAAAACAACGCCTTGAATAATCACACCATTTGCCATTATTATTTAAGGCTAACTTTTTTCAGGTGAACTAAGCTAGGCATGTATTGTATGTTGCCCATCCCTGCATGAACTTCAAACCTATAATTTAAAACAATTTTACTAATAAACAACACGAAGATACATATAAAGATTTGTGTTAACAAGGGGTGAGCTATCATTGTATACAGAGATGTGTTTGTTGTGTCAGTGTCCGTTTATGGAGTGTTTATGGAAAGAGTGTTGTGTTAGTATAGGAAGTGGTTTAATTAATTCCTGATCTTTTCGTGATGTCACTGTGGCTATTCTAAATTGTCATATTGTCAATAACTTTAGTCATGACATTTCCATGTGAATTCATTGCAACAACAACCTTTCCAAGTACTGTAGCAGGAACCTCCATAATATTATCCCATTTAGTACGAAGAGTTATTTTACTGTTTATTTGTCTTCACTAAAGTGAATCATGTCTACAGATTTTGCTGTGCGATACCCTGGGTATTATCCTCATATAAAACATCCACTAAAATGGATTCTAACTTATTCCAATTCTCGTAAAAACAGCCAGGATTTATCAGCTCTTGGTGTGCTGCTAAATCGTGTTGACCCAATCAAGATGTCCACTCCAATAACAAGAACCAACTTCAACAAACAGCTACAATGTCAACAACTTGAACAGCAAGATCATTTGTTTCAGACACAGAAACCGAGCCAGCCTGATTTTTCCCAAAGCCAGAGCATCGCTGTTCCAAGGACGGTCCTCTCCAACAACAGTTCCTCCAGATGTTCCTTCAAGTGTGCGGCAGGTATGATTCATTTTAATTTCTACTTTTTTCCCGATATGTGGTTTGAGTTGTTCATCAGCTTGCTTGTGTGAGAAGCATAACTATATATTACAAGACACCAAATGTGGTTAAGAAAACTTGTGGATGGATCATGTCTTGATATAGCTAGCCCCAGAAATACGTATTACATGCAACGTTGAGGGAAATGTTCCCACACATATTTTTCAGCATCAAGAAGTTTGTACTTGAATTGCCTTTTTTAGTATTGTTTTTTAGGGGAGTTTGCATTATTTTATTACCTGGTTCATGGTACACAGAAATTCTGTCAAATTAAGAAATGCAACTTACACGCCTGATAAAATTTTAACTTAACCTTATAGGAGTGATCGATGGCTGAAAGCGCAGAATAAAATAGCCAAAAACATGCTTGAATCTAGCATGGTATCTGGAGTTGAAATACATGTGATTTATTTTTACAGAAAGTTGGAATTTTTTTTTTTGGCATTTTGCTTTATACATGCATGTGCATGGAACCTAGATGTTTTGCAAAGATCTACAAAGAACTTGTCAATAAAAACAATAATATTGCCTTTATAATATAGTCATGCATTTGATATCAAAAAGACTCTCTCAATTAGTCATAGGATGCTTTATTATTCTGGTTTGTTTTTGTTGTTTTTCTCAGTTTTTATATTCCTAGAGCCGTTCATGTTGATTATGTAATATTTTTAAGAATTTGCTTGCTTGTAGAATTAGCAACAAGCAAAGGCAAATAAGGAAAAAGATACTCTCTCGGGAAATAACTCTATCACATTGAAGTCACTTGCCTTCTTAATTATTCACTGCTTCACACAGTGAACATGTGAAACTGCAGTGGTCTGGGTCATGTTCAAAGTTTGTGGTGGAGATATTTTGATCCCCAATGTTTGATGTGTTGACAGATCATGGTGTCATGTTCTCACATTCACATTTTTTATGATTGTGTTTGAGTCCCAGGGGAACAGATATGATATCTCTTTTCTTCCAAACATAGCAGCATAAGATTGACCTTTCTTAGATAGATAGATCATTTTTCAGCAATTGTCTCTTCTTCTAATAGACTATTTTCCATACTATGTTGTTATTAAGAGGTGTGCATTAAAACTATTTATTTCCAATGCCTGATTACACAGCTAGGTTAGGAGTCCATGAGAATAATTACTTTCAGAAACAATTTTTGAGCCAAAATAGATTTTTTTCTACACTTTTTCTAGAACAAAGAGAATTTTTTGAAAATGGTATGTGACAAGGAAATAGGTTAGTCAAACTTGCCACAAAGTAGCTCTGGTTTCCTGTTAGATAACAGCTGTAACTTCTTTTCTTCAGGTAAAAACCCAGCTAGAAAATCCAACTCGCTACTTCATCCAACAAAAACAGAAAAGGCAACTCAAAGAATATCTCAAAGCACAAGGCTCGCCATCCACGGCTGGAGATTTAGCTGTTGCCGTGACCAGTACAAATCAACTGACATTGAATGCTATAAACCAGCAGGCTGTGGCAGCTCTAGCAACAAGTCATTTAATGGGTCAGCCTGAGAGTCCTATGGCTGTCATGAGTCCTGATGGGAATCAGGCCCCCTCTGACGTGAGTATTCAACTTGAATAATCTTTTCCAGGAGTTTCCAAGAGCAGAATTCTAGACAAATCTCTCATTTTATTGTGCAAGTTGTGAAAAACAGATTGTAAAACACAGAAGGTTTTTTTGCGGAGGTTTCATGTGAATGATCACCCCCCAAATTTTTTTCCCACACATTCAAAAGTGAGAACTGCATGCACATCACATGTGTCCATCAGTAATTACTACGGGAGCCCAGGGGGGCCAAATAGAGATTTTGTTTTTATTTTTCCCTTTGCCATTTTTGTTTTTCACTTTTTGATTTTCACTTCGCCATTTAGCTTTTCGGTTGGAATTTCGGTTTTTATTTTTTACTTTTCCGTTTTCGTTATCAGCAAGTGAATCACTTCTTAGGATGTCCTGTGTGTAGTCTCTAATTGCTTATTGTTACATGCAACGTTTTTTTCCATTTTATAGTGTGACGACATTGTGGATGATCATATTATAAGGTAGGTGAAGTTGCTGTTAATGTGATTCTATCGTTTCATATGTTATGTTATTTAAGCAAATCAGTGTTCTTTATGCACTTCTTAATCTTTTACCCATTTCTTTCCCCTTGGCAAGCACAATGAGGATTTTATCAAAACTTTAATTGTATATGCCAAAAAGCTATCAATTGGTACAAACTGCTTGTGGTTCCGTTTGTTTTGCTTTATGTTTATAAAAGCAAAAAGGTTACATAAATTTAGCCCCCCTGTTGACCATTTGTATCAATTCCTTTGGTTAAACAGCATTTAGTTTACATTTTCTAGTCGCTTATTTATTCCGCTTCAAAAGGGAGTTTGTTTGAAAACTTGATCTTGTCTTTGGCTTTACTACGCATATGGTTTCCTTCACGCTTTCGCGCACGCAAATTTTTAGGCCAAAACTCCCAAGGAATTGGGGGGTTGTCGCGCTTAAAAGTCCCAGGAGTGGATGGGTTAACCCTTGACAGTGACAAGCATCTAATTTCTCCTTAACATAACACTGTTTAATAAACCAAAAAGATCATGAGAAAGAACTAAAACAATCTCCAAGGTTAAACTGACTGTAAAACAAATTCTCCTCATCAGTGCCACATGCGTGAAATGCACTGAGAAAGATGTGGAGAATGCAACTCTACATACACACTGATTCAGAGGTTTAAAAGATTTAAGAGCAAATGTTACCATCGGTCAAACATTTCGTGGCAACAGCTCAAAATTCGATTTGGCCCATATTGTCAGGTTAGATAGACCTAAATGTAAAACAAATCGCTACATAGTTCGTTTGGCTAAATATCGATTAGTTTTCGAGAAAATCAATAATAACCGAATCCTGAGAATTTGCCACGTTTTGAGCTTACAATTTCGGTCGAAAAAGAATGCTTCGCGTAACGAAATAACACATTCTAGAGAAATAAAATCTACTAAATCTTGTAGAATGATACCAAAATATGTGTTAAAAGCAAATTGAGCAATTCTTTTCTGTTTACTTTGAAAATATAATTACATTTCGCGAACCCTCTTTTATCAAGATGAAAACTTGCCAAAAAATAACCTTTAAGTATGTGGTACTAAATGAAATACGTCGAAAAATCTGGATTTCGAAAGCCGAATAATCTTTCTTTTACATATCCAAAGTATTTTTTGGGGAAATGATTTAGCGCGAAGAAATTCAATGTTAAAGTTGGATACAACGCCCTGTTTTAACCGACCTTCCAATTCAGGTAATAAACACACAGAAAGACAAGTTTTCCAAAGATAGCATTCAATCCAAAGCGGGATTGACGTAAAAATTTAACCAACATGTTTTAAAATCAAAGACATTGATTGTATTTCTGCTGTCCCTTCGTTTGCTACAAAATTCAATCAAACGACAAGATAATTTGTCAAGATAACGCAGCTGTCATGTTTGTTTACACTCCAGCGTGAAGACTAGACGCGAGATGTTTTGTTGGGAAGTTTTCCCGACCAATTATCTCTGAATTCAAGATCAGAGATCAGATTTAAAAAGTTATTTCCGTTTGTCTTTCCTCTAAAATCAGTTTCGAACTGATAAGCAAACCAAAGGCAAACAATTTAACGAGCCGTTTGTCTCAAACTGATACATTGAAAACATGTCTAAATATACTTTAGTATAATCTGTGACAATTTCGCACAAGAATCAAATCTTTTGATCATGAAATTAAAAGGTCTTTTGACCTTCTTTAACAGCATATGAAGACTTCCACATTTTCATAGTATAATAACAACTTACATTTTCCTTGCGAACGTTGACAAAACGGAGCTGAGCGTTCTCAGCAAGTTAGATTCGCACACCATGTATTTATAGCAACTCGTTACGGTTGCGTGACCAATTTTTATTTCCGGAATTGAGAGCGGCTGTTCATTTGCACGGACTTTTTGGGACTGGAAAATCATGAACCTTTTATATAATGCTGCTGCTAAACATTTCAAACTAACGAGTCTTCTTATTTTCAATATCAGTTTTTACATTTTATACCCTCAGCTATATTCTACGGCGATAAACCACATAAACCATCTTCAAGAAGATCTTGCCTCTGAATAAATTTCAAAACTACAACGAGTTTTTACACGTCTACTAAAAGCTTTACCCCAAATCAAAGTAGAAAATGTAAGTGATTAAATGCAGGTCACGCAGAGATCTCCGTAAGCCCCGGCGACCGGCGAAAATCGCCGTCTAGTCGTCCTTGGCGCGCCGGCTACTCAGATCCAAATAAAAAAATATTTATTTTGGAAGATGGAAAAATTCACTGTGTAAACTTTTCACTTCAAGCGCGGTGATAAAAACAAATGCATTACCGTTTCCAAGTTGAAATAAAACTGTAATTAAAATCAAAGTTTTGGCATGAAAATTGAAAATAGGTGAAGTTTGATACAACGTCTTGCCGCTTGTAATCGCGGCATTTTTCACGTGTGCACCGACCCGTGACAGCAGCACGGAAAAATTTTTTCATGAGAACAGAAACGTAATTGCAACAAATGAGAACCGAAATGAAGCGACTGGCAAAACAACAGACACTCTTCAACGCGTGGAATAAAAGGCCCAAAGAAGGCACAGAACAAGGTAGGTTGATTTTCCTTTGTAAATTTTATTTCTATTTATATCCGAATCGAAAGTACGCATAATTAAATTTTGTACTTTCAACACGTCGCCAACGCGATCAGCCCGACCGACACGGAATATTTTAGATTCAATAAACATACAAAAAATGTTCCTTTTGCTCATGTGCTTTCATTTCTTTGATCAACCCGTTCGGTAAGATCTGATCTTTGTGGGACTGTAGAACATTTTCAATTTTGCAAGGTGTTAAGTTTGAAAACGTCGCAGAGAACGTGACTGAAAAGTGTGGCTTGATGCACCCGCATTTTTTAAAAAAAATAAAGACTACATTCTGCAAATTTATAAGAAACAGATGAACGATCGATCCATCGATCGAAAAAAACGAACGAACAAAGCAACGACTGAATGAAACAACCCGAACAAAAAACCCTGAACATTTCTTGGCCGGCTTTGTTGCTAGAAATTCGTCAACGAAATGCATTACAAATTTGCAGGGCGGTTTTTGAAAATGACGTTTTTCATTTTTCGTTCTCGGCTTTCCCTGAAAACAAGTAAAGAAGTGACAAAATACAACTCAAAAAATTTAAACTTAAATTTAATTTACCCCTTAAAACTTACATTCTTTCAGTTCCTGAGATAATTTTCCCGCGGACTTAGGAACCCACGCACAGAATTCCAACGGAGAATCCGTAGATTTGGTCAGGAAAGTTTTTATTCTTCATCTAAGCATTTTGAAGACTACAAGTAATAAAATAACCTAGTTTTCTTTTTTTACGGGAACGTTATAATACCCCATTTCTAGAAAAGATTTTTTAAGATTGTCTTCACGAGTTTTCAGTCATTTAAATGCACTGCAAATTGATTGTTTTAATTTTTATATGAAAATTAGGGTTAACAGGCAATGTAGGCAATCCTTTAGTTTGCATTATCAATTTCCCAGCACTTGATGAAGAGGATTCCTGTACAAGTGCCAGCATCCAAGAACCCTCGCCTTCTAAATCGTCTGGCACTGTCGGCGAAACAGCATCTGCGAATGTTACGTCACGGACTTCTACTCCTCCTAAACTGGAACACAAGGAAGCCATGAACCTACTGGAAGAGTACTTTCCCGAGGCTTTTAGCGGAAAAACCCTGCACAGTTATTACACCTGTTCGGGCTCGTGTACAGAGCTTTCCAAACAAGAGCAACAAAAGCAACAAGGAAAAGGTGACAAATTCCAGCACAAATGGCTATTCGATGAAACCCTCACGTTTTCAAGGGAAACAGGGATGTGGTGGCTTGTTTTCATTGAAGGGGAGGGGATGTACTGCCTTCTTTGTCGCATACATAACACAAAGAACAGATACAACAAAGATTGCAAGTTTAACTGTGAGCCATCCGTTCGCTATAAGAGATCAGCTCTCTTCAACTCCAAGGCTGATGGGCACCCCTGTAGGCAAAAAAAAGACCTGGGCCATGCAAGGTCAACTGGGCACCTTGGAACCTATCTTCTTGAACTGGAGAGACGAAAGAGCCCCCTTGCACAACAGCACAAAACTGTACAAGAAAAAGCAGACAAGGTGACATTCAATGCTATGCTGAGTGTTTACTGGCTAGCACATGAAGAGATTGCCAATGTGAAGTTGAAGTCATTGTTAAAGCTAGAAGAACAGGTTGGTCTGCAAGAAATGAGTCACTGGAAGAACACAAGTGAACGATGTCAAAGGGAGCAGAGATTGCTACTGGGGCAATTACTGAAGAAGACGACGCTAGCACGAATCAAAGAAGCAAAGTGGTTCAGCATCCTCGTTGACGAAGTGACAGATTGTGCTGTGATCGAACAACTCCTCATTTACATTGGTTATGTGGACGAGACAGGCGAGACCCACTTTGACTTCTTGGAAGTTAAAGATTGCCTTGCAACATCCGATTCTGCTGATGCTGAAACGATCACCCGTTTAATTATTGAGGAGCTGAAAGAAAGTGGCCTGCAAGTTGAACATGCATGTGGATTCGGTTCGGATGGTGCCAGTGTGATGACAGGAGCCCATAATGGTGTTGGTGCCAGACTACAAGCAGTGTGTCCTCTTCTCATAAGAACGCACTGTATAAACCATAGATTGGCTCTGGCCTGTGGAGATGCGAATGATCGGGTCAAATTCATTACCACAGTGGAAACTACGCTCAAGCAGCTCTGGAAGTGGCTCGAATACCCCAAGAGATGCTCTGCATACATCAAGGTCTGTGAAAGTTTGAGGAAAATTCAAGTGCCAGATGCTGCGCAGAAGAAGTCATTGGCTGTAAAAGTCCAGAAGGCCTGCAGGACACGATGGCTGTCAACAGGGCAAAGTGTATCAAGTGTTTGTACAAATTTGGTGGCACTGATGCAAACTCTCAGAAAATTCAAGGAGTATGATGCCACAGCTGATGGGTTGCTAAAAAGGATGAATAACGTCAAGTTTGTGGGTACCCTTCTCATCTTAAACGAAGTTCTTCCTCACCTTAACACCTTAAGTAAAGTATTCCAACAAAACAAAATCCATTATTCTGCCATTAAGCCATCATTGGAATTGACAAAGAAGAGAATCACTGAAATAAGATCCAGTTGCAAGCCACTACATGTCCTGAAAGAAGCTTTGATGGGCCAGTACAAAGATTTAGAACTTACTCTTCCCTCATCACAGGAAGAAGTATTGGTCAACCTGTGCCAAAGCTACACTTTAGCACTAGAAGAGAACCTGGACAGACGCTTCACTCAAGCTGCTCCAGTGTTAGAGGCCTTCAGCATCTTCAATCCAACCACCCTGCCTGCTACCACTGATCCTGAGTTCATGGAACATGGTGTGGCCAGTGTGAAGATTTTAGCTGATCAATTCCAATTCAGTGAAGATCAGATGACAACCCAGTGGCAGAATTTCAAATACCTCATGCTATCCTGGAAGCCACCTCAGAATGTGCTGCAAGGTGGGAAGGAGTCCAAACTATCACCCACCGAATGGATTCTTCGTAAAATCGTGAAAGAGCAAGCACTACTCAGAGAAAGCTACAGCTTTTTGGTGGATGCTGCAAAGATCTGTCTGACACAGCCAATGTCAAATGCTGTTGTTGAAAGAGGAGCCAGTGCTGTCAAAAGGGTTAAGACAAGGCTAAGAAACCGCCTGAAGAATGACATGCTGTCGACATGTCGACATGTCTTCATGTTTCAATCAATGGACCAGAGCCAAAGTCCGAAGAGTGTCAAGTAATCCTGGCAGAGGCAGCACAAGTATGGAGGAACACCCACAAGAGAAACCTACCTCCATTGAACCTCCCAAGGATTGGTGGCAATAAGCACGGAGATGCAAGGATCACTGAATTGGCAACTGTTGCCACTCAGACTGAGACACCTGGTAAGTATTACTGGTAATATAAATAACTTCAAATCAAACATAGCCCCAATTAAAATTAAGATTACACAGAGATAATAGCTTAGAAAGAAACAAAAAATAGCCAGTTATTGAGTTAAGAACTGATGTTTATTTCATTCTATTGCAGAAAATATGGATGTGATATCGATGGAAGAAGAACCCCAGCTAGTAACTCAGGCATCAGCCTTCGCAAACAGTGTTCACAAGGCACTTACTGAGATGGACATGCTAGATGAGTCGTCTGATGTAGATTCAGACTTCGAGTTTGACGTTGATTTCTAGACATTTTAACACACTATCAGATCTTTAAACTATTTTTGAAGTATTACAGAAAAAATTGAACTTTGATGTTGGGTGCATCGCATTTCTGAAGTTTTTCTCAAAAATGTAATATATGTGAGAAGGTGGATTAATAAAAGTTCTATCATCATGGCAGTCATCTTCCAAAATGCACTTTACGAGCTCCAAATTGCAAAATTTTTCCAGGGGAAGGCCACCCGGACCCCCCTATGGGAGGGATGTCCTCCCTCCCATACTCTCCCCCCACACGCGCCAAGGGCATGTGGAAGGCACTGTCGCGCCTTAAAGAATTTTCTCTGACGGCTACTCCCCTTCGTTCTCCTTCTACTTCAAAATTTCAGGAGAACCCTGCAGGTGCCATGACAAATTCATTGCCTTGTACAAGGAAGACGTTGCCACATCTCAAGTTCGGAAAAACTAACTCTTGGCTTTGACTATCACCTAGTGTTTTTTTTGTTGTTGTTGTTGTTGTGGTTTTTTTTTAATAATTCAGCTCGGTAATGGTCTCCAGCTATTAAAAGGGGTAAGAACATTATTGTCTCAGTGAGTTAAACGGGATCACCCGGACACGACCGGTCACGGATAATGATTTCCTCGATAAACTAATTTTAACAAAGACTATGCAAATTTTCCAAAAAGTATTGTTAAAGATACCCACGAGGAATGATAGATGGTAAAGTAAAGTAAACTTGAAAAAAGAATTGAAAAAAGAAATCCAGATTCCTTACCACATGATAGACTACGGCCCCCAACCTCTAGTGTTCGAAAATTGTAACTAACGATTCCCACCACTTTCTAAACGTGTAGCTCCACTTTTCTATATCAAAGCATTGACCCTACAAAGTCTATGCGAAATCAGCTCGAAATGGTTCCCGAATCATTACAATTTGCAGGTGAAACTGGTGTTCATTGACTACCGCAAGTCCTCCTGTAACTGAAGTTTTCGTCTGGACGAGACGCATATGACTTCTTTCCATTCCTCTAACTGTTTTTACAAGAAGAGTATTATTAGATACTGTAGACCTACAAAAGGAGAACGGTTTGCTCCCTGTCCAGTGGGCGGTTCAACTCGAAGAATTTCTCTATAAAATAGGGCCTTTTTGATCACGTGATGCAGTGAAAAATAATTTTAAAAATGAAATTGGAAGATTCCTTATGATTGGCCTTAAATTGTTAGTCACGAGGTAGCTTGAAAAAACTTTACATTAGACCATTCCCCCTTAAATCTACTTGAAGATGTACAAGATTCTCGTTTGTGGGTGTGGCTGTGATTCCTTTTCTCTCCACAGACTTAACTAATTTATAACAACTTGTTACTTTTCGTATAACACTTTTCCTTTTGTTGGCTTTTCCCTGGCTTCTATCGTAAAAGCTACGAGGATAATTTTGACGAGACACTTTACAACCCCCGTCAGTCGTCACTCTTAAAAGAGTGTCTCTAAAAAGTTCTATAGACGACACACATAGCGTAGAGCCGTCAATTTCAGTTTACCCTAAGTAAGACATTCTCGACATCACTGACTATTTCGTAGGTTAATCTCTACATATTCTGGTCAGCCTTACTAGCTTTACAGCAACACCTGGACACAACGCCTTCAATAATTTCCATATACGGCTGCTTGCGCTTGCTGAGCCATCTATGCTACATCCAGTTCTAAGGCTGCACAAATGTTCTGCAATGTTCGTATCGAAAACTTTGCCAGCTTAGACTAACCTACGATCTCACACATGTTGTATGTTTCGTACATGATGGGATGCTGAAGAGCTAATGCTTTCGTTTCTTCGTTGGACATTTCTTCGATTGCCTTCTCTGTTATCAGCTCATTCCTTTCAGGTTCTTCCCCCTCACTGGATTGTTCCACACTCAGTACGTTTTCTTTGCTGACAAGCGAGAAAAAAATCCTGCTATTTGTAGTGGTGTGAGATCGCACTTGTCGAAGATATTAGAGCAATCATTATGCTTTACTCTTCGCATTGCCTTTGAGACGCTAGTTGGATCTGCTTTTTGCCCAGTGCGTTCTCCAGCTTGAAAGACTTCAGTCAGATAGTTTTTCTGCGCCACCGTGAGATTCTTTCTTTGTACTCCTGCTGACTTAAAAGCCCATCCCATCGGAAGCACGGAGCCATCACCCTCCACTGACATAGATGCACCATCATCAACTATTTCTGGTAGGACGCCAGGACCACGCTCCAGTTTGGTGACGTACGTGGTAATTGCCTTGTTATACAGCGTTTCCTGTTCCAGGGCATACTTGCCGTGTGTTAACCACAGTCCAGATGTTTTTCTAGCGATCAGTATTGTACAAAGGACTTGACGCATGTGACATCCCTCTTCTGGACAGAAAAACAGATCGCTTCCTTCGCCGTTACAGCTTTCATCGTCGTCGCTGTTATTTCTGTTCTGTGGAGCCTCTTCTAAAACCGGTTTTTGCTTTGGTTTACTCCTAGCTTTGGCAGTTTGGAAAGATACTTTAGCACTAGAACTCCGTTTCTGTTTGTTTAGCTGAGGAAGACTCCCAACTTGTTGGCGGAAGTTGCTCCAGGGTACAAATTTCCCAGAGCCAATTCGTAAGCTCTCCAAACATGCAAACCTTCCTTGGTGTATGCAATGTTGTTAATGAAACCAGCTCCCTCCCATTTTACTGGAGTAGACTTTGCAGCAGGTTGTGGCCCGCTCACTGTCACCCGGACACCAGAAATTCCGCCAGATGACTCAATGACCGTCGTCATTTGTGAGGCTGTCTCTATGTCGTCGCCTGAATTGAGATGGGTGGGCATGTTACTTTTAATTGTCGCGGCCTTACGATCACGGGATCCTTTTCCGCCTTGGGGGTCCGAAAAGTAAAAACGCTTTAGTTCAATTGCATGCTCGCGGGCAACATGGTAGACTGAAAGTAATGAAAACGCGCAATGATAGCATCCTGCGTTATCGCCCCTTATAAAAACAGAGTTGACTTCTGGCATGATTTCCCTAAGTTGACGAAAGACGTCATCAATAATGGCGAGTAACACGCGAATAACGCGCGTCGCAACTCTCTGTGTTTACAAACGTTTCACTAAAGCTGTTACAAAGTGAAGATTCCTACTTTTAGACTGCAAACAAATCTCTCGGTTCGCTCAAAACAAACAAAACCTGACACCTGTTTTGAAATTGTACCAACATCTTTAATTAATTTTATTTTTGAAAAAAAGTGATAGCGACGACGTTTTTATCCGATTTCACGAGGTTTTTCCCGAGGGCAACGCCGCAAAATTTGTTTCGTTTCCTCAGGTAATGATTTTTCTATAGCGATCATATTTGTCACTCTTTTGCCTTTATTCGTTTTTTAAACAGGTTTCTGTTTTTCTTTCCTTCTTTTTTTACTCTGATATTTAATGAAAAAAATCGCTAAGATCCACTAGACACTTGTTCCATGTTCCAATCCCGCTTTTCTGTAGTTGTAGATTTCACTTGAATAAAGCAGTATTTCGCAACACCCACGTGATAACATATGTTTTTGACTTGAGGTCTCTTGGTTCCGCTTTGGTTTGCTGCTTAGTTCAAGACTAATGTTTCGGCAAAGAAGACTTACGAAAGGCACTCTAAGATCATTTTTGAGGAAAATGGAGGCAGTGAATACGCACAACAAAAACCAACGTCCAAAGCATGGAAAACAAACAATGCCACCGTGCCGCTATCATGTCGTGGGAAATGATTTTGAACGACTGGTTCACGAACCAAACGACACCGGCCTGCAGAAATACAGTTTTCTTCATCATTGATTTGAAGGCAAAAAGGTTAGATTCTACACGTTAAAACAGACCTCGACTTAATGTACTCTGCTTAACTTTTTAGGTGGTTCTGTCAAGTGTAATGTGCGTTGCATGACATGCACGCGTGGGACAAGTAGAAACACCGAAATTTGTCCAAATTTAAAAATAGATTTCTTCGCTCTGAATCATTTCCCCAAAAAATCCTTTGGGAGTCTTAAAGAACAACTCTTTGACTTTTAAACACTAGGGGCGCTTTCCAGTTAGGGGAAAAAAAGCGGAAATTTCGGTGGGAGCAAAAGTGGAATTTCCGAGCGATAAAAAGTTGTTCCATTTGGTCGTAAACCCCGGTACGTCGCAGTGCCCGACCGTGGACCTAGAACTGGTACAAACTACGACTACTAGGTGAAACGTGTAAATGGAACACGAAATTCCGTTCGGAAATTCCAACCGGGAAAACGGGTCCACCTTGTTAGATTTTCCACTTTTTCTGGGAATTTACCAGTGGGACGAACCGACGAAACGTGTTCCATTTACCGCCGAACCGGAAATCCGGAAATTTTGACTAAATGGAAAGCGCCCTTGTTTTCAACGAATTATACGCAGTACCACAAGCTTAAATAAACGGCTAATTTTAGATAAGTTTTAAAAGTTCTATAGACGACACACATAGCGTAGAGCCGTCAATTTCAGTTTACCCTAAGTAAGACATTCTCGACATCACTGACTATTTCGGAGGTTAATCTCTACATATTCTGGTCAGCCTTACTAGCTTTACAGCAACACCTGGACACAACGCCTTCAATAATTTCCATATACGGCTGCTTGCGCTTGCTGAGCCATCGATGCTACATCCAGTTCTAAGGCTGCACAAATGTTCTGCAGTGTTCGTATCGAAAACTTTGCCAGCTTAGACTAACCTACGATCTCACACATGTTGTATGTTTCGTACATGATGGGATGCTGAAGAGCTAATGCTTTCGTTTCTTCGTTGGACATTTCTTCGATTGCCTTCTCTGTTATCAGCTCATTCCTTTCAGGTTCTTCCCCCTCACTGGATTGTTCCACACTCAGTACGTTTTCTTTGCTGACAAGCGAGAAAAAAATCCTGCTATTTGTAGTGGTGTGAGATCGCACTTGTCGAAGATATTAGAGCAATCATTATGCTTTACTCTTCGCATTGCCTTTGAGACGCTAGTTGGATCTGCTTTTTGCCCAGTGCGTTCTCCAGCTTGAAAGACTTCAGTCAGATAGTTTTTCTGCGCCACCGTGAGATTCTTTCTTTGTACTCCTGCTGACTTAAAAGCCCATCCCATCGGAAGCACGGAGCCATCACCCTCCACTGACATAGATGCACCATCATCAACTATTTCTGGTAGGACGCCAGGACCACGCTCCAGTTTGGTGACGTACGTGGTAATTGCCTTGTTATACAGCGTTTCCTGTTCCAGGGCATACTTGCCGTGTGTTAACCACAGTCCAGATGTTTTTCTAGCGATCAGTATTGTACAAAGGACTTGACGCATGTGACATCCCTCTTCTGGACAGAAAAACAGATCGCTTCCTTCGCCGTTACAGCTTTCATCGTCGTCGCTGTTATTTCTGTTCTGTGGAGCCTCTTCTAAAACCGGTTTTTGCTTTGGTTTACTCCTAGCTTTGGCAGTTTGGAAAGATACTTTAGCACTAGAACTCCGTTTCTGTTTGTTTAGCTGAGGAAGACTCCCAACTTGTTGGCGGAAGTTGCTCCAGGGTACAAATTTCCCAGAGCCAATTCGTAAGCTCTCCAAACATGCAAACCTTCCTTGGTGTATGCAATGTTGTTAATGAAACCAGCTCCCTCCCATTTTACTGGAGTAGACTTTGCAGCAGGTTGTGGCCCGCTCACTGTCACCCGGACACCAGAAATTCCGCCAGATGACTCAATGACCGTCGTCATTTGTGAGGCTGTCTCTATGTCGTCGCCTGAATTGAGATGGGTGGGCATGTTACTTTTAATTGTCGCGGCGGCCTTACGATCACGAGATCCTTTTCCGCCTTGGGGGTCCGAAAAGTAAAAACGCTTTAGTTCAATTGCATGCTCGCGGGCAACATGGTAGACTGAAAGTAATGAAAACGCGCAATGATAGCATCCTGCGTTATCGCCCCTTATAAAAACAGAGTTGACTTCTGGCATGATTTCCCTAAGGTGACGAAAGACGTCATCAATAATGGCGAGTAACACGCGAATAACGCGCGTCGCAACTCTCTGTGTTTACAAACGTTTCACTAAAGCTGTTACAAAGTGAAGATTCCTACTTTTAGACTGCAAACAAATCTCTCGGTTCGCTCAAAACAAACAAAACCTGACACCTGTTTTGAAATTGTACCAACATTCTTAATTAATTTTATTTGGAAAAAAAGTGATAGCGACGACGTTTTTATCCGATTTCACGTGGTGTTTCCCGAGGGCAACGCCGCAAAATTTGTTTCGTTTCCTCAGGTAATGATTTTTCTATAGCGATCATATTTGTCACTCTTTTGCCTTTATTCGTTTTTTAAACAGGTTTCTGTTTTTCTTTCCTTCTTTTTTTACTCTGATATTTAATGAAAAAAATCGCTAAGATCCACTAGACACTTGTTCCATGTTCCAATCCCGCTTTTCTGTAGTTGTAGATTTCACTTGAATAAAGCAGTATTTCGCAACACCCACGTGATAACATATGTTTTTGACTTGAGGTCTCTTGGTTCCGCTTTGGTTTGCTGCTTAGTTCAAGACTAATGTTTCGGCAAAGAAGACTTACGAAAGGCACTCTAAGATCATTTTTGAGGAAAATGGAGGCAGTGAATACGCACAACAAAAACCAACGTCCAAAGCATGGAAAACAAACAATGCCACCGTGCCGCTATCATGTCGTGGGAAATGATTTTGAACGACTGGTTCACGAACCAAATGACACCGGCCTGCAGAAATACAGTTTTCTTCATCATTGATTTGAAGACAAAAAGGTTAGATTCTACACGTTAAAACAGACCTCGACTTAATGTATTCTGCTTAACTTTTTAGGTGGTTCTGTCAAGTGTAATGTGCGTTGCATGACATGCACGCGTGGGACAAGTAGAAACACCGAAATTTGTCCAAATTTAAAAATAGATTTCTTCGCTCTGAATCATTTCCCCAAAAAATCCTTTGGGAGTCTTAAAGAACAACTCTTTGACTTTAAAACACTAGGGGCGCTTTCCAGTTAGGGGAATAAAAGCGGAAATTTCGGTGGGAGCAAAAGTGGAATTTCCGAGCGGTAAAAAGTTGTTCCATTTGGTCGTAAACCCCGGTACGTCGCAGTGCCCGACCGTGGACCTAGAACTGGTACAAACTACGACTACTAGGTGAAACGTGTAAATGGAACACGAAATTCCGTTCGGAAATTCCAACCGGGAAAACGGGTCCACCTTGTTAGATTTTCCACTTTTTCTGGGAATTTACCAGTGGGACGAACCGACGAAACGTGTTCCATTTACCGCCGAACCGGAAATCCGGAAATTTTGACTAAATGGAAAGCGCCCTTGTTTTCAACGAATTATACGCAGTACCACAAGCTTAAATAAACGGCTAATTTTAGATAAGTTTTAAAAAGTTCTATAGACGACACACATAGCGTAGAGCCGTCAATTTCAGTTTACCCTAAGTAAGACATTCTCGACATCACTGACTATTTCGTAGGTTAATCTCTACATATTCTGGTCAGCCTTACTAGCTTTACAGCAACACCTGGACACAACGCCTTCAATAATTTCCATATACGGCTGCTTGCGCTTGCTGAGCCATCTATGCTACATCCAGTTCTAAGGCTGCACAAATGTTCTGCAATGTTCGTATCGAAAACTTTGCCAGCTTAGACTAACCTACGATCTCACACATGTTGTATGTTTCGTACATGATGGGATGCTGAAGAGCTAATGCTTTCGTTTCTTCGTTGGACATTTCTTCGATTGCCTTCTCTGTTATCAGCTCATTCCTTTCAGGTTCTTCCCCCTCACTGGATTGTTCCACACTCAGTACGTTTTCTTTGCTGACAAGCGAGAAAAAAATCCTGCTATTTGTAGTGGTGTGAGATCGCACTTGTCGAAGATATTAGAGCAATCATTATGCTTTACTCTTCGCATTGCCTTTGAGACGCTAGTTGGATCTGCTTTTTGCCCAGTGCGTTCTCCAGCTTGAAAGACTTCAGTCAGATAGTTTTTCTGCGCCACCGTGAGATTCTTTCTTTGTACTCCTGCTGACTTAAAAGCCCATCCCATCGGTAGCACGGAGCCATCACCCTCCACTGACATAGATGCACCATCATCAACTATTTCTGGTAGGACGCCAGGACCACGCTCCAGTTTGGTGACGTACGTGGTAATTGCCTTGTTATACAGCGTTTCCTGTTCCAGGGCATACTTGCCGTGTGTTAACCACAGTCCAGATGTTTTCCAGCGATCAGTATTGTACAAAGGACTTGACGCATGTGACATCCCTCTTCTGGACAGAAAAACAGATCGCTTCCTTCGCCGTTACAGCTTTCATCGTCGTCGCTGTTATTTCTGTTCTGTGGAGCCTCTTCTAAAACCGGTTTTTGCTTTGGTTTACTCCTAGCTTTGGCAGTTTGGAAAGATACTTTAGCACTAGAACTCCGTTTCTGTTTGTTTAGCTGAGGAAGACTCCCAACTTGTTGGCGGAAGTTGCTCCAGGGTACAAATTTCCCAGAGCCAATTCCGTAAGCTCTCCAAACATGCAAACCTTCCTTGGTGTATGCAATGTTGTTAATGAAACCAGCTCCCTCCCATTTTACTGGAGTAGACTTTGCAGCAGGTTGTGGCCCGCTCACTGTCACCCGGACACCAGAAATTCCGCCAGATGACTCAATGACCGTCGTCATTTGTGAGGCTGTCTCTATGTCGTCGCCTGAATTGAGATGGGTGGGCATGTTACTTTTAATTGTCGCGGCCTTACGATCACGAGATCCTTTTCCGCCTTGGGGTCCGAAAAGTAAAAACGCTTTAGTTCAATTGTATGCTCGCAGGCAACATGGTAGACTGAAAGTAATGAAAACGCGCAATGATTGCATCCTGCGTTATCGCCCCTTATAAAAACAGAGTTGACTTCTGGCATGATTTCCCTAAGTTGACGAAAGACGTCATCAATAATGGCGAGTAACACGCGAATAACGCGCGTCGCAACTCTCTGTGTTTACAAACGTTTCACTAAAGCTGTTACAAAGTGAAGATTCCTACTTTTAGACTGCAAACAAATCTCTCGGTTCGCTCAAAACAAACAAAACCTGACACCTGTTTTGAAATTGTACCAACATTCTTAATTAATTTTATTTGGAAAAAAAGTGATAGCGACGACGTTTTTATCCGATTTCACGAGGTTTTTCCCGAGGGCAACGCCGCAAAATTTGTTTCGTTTCCGCAGGTAATGATTTTTCTATAGCGATCATATTTGTCACTCTTTTGCCTTTATTCGTTTTTTAAACAGGTTTCTGTTTTTCTTTCCTTCTTTTTTTTTACTCTGATATTTAATGAAAAAAAATCGCTAAGATCCACTAGACACTTGTTCCATGTTCCAATCCCGCTTTTCTGTAGTTGTAGATTTCACTTGAATAAAGCAGTATTTCGCAACACCCACGTGATAACATATGTTTTTGACTTGAGGTCTCTTGGTTCCGCTTTGGTTTGCTGCTTAGTTCAAGACTAATGTTTCGGCAAAGAAGACTTACGAAAGGCACTCTAAGATCATTTTTGAGGAAAATGGAGGCAGTGAATACGCACAACAAAACCAACGTCCAAAGCATGGAAAACAAACAATGCCACCGTGCCGCTATCATGTCGTGGGAAATGATTTTGAACTACTGGTTCACGAACCAAACGACACCGGCCTGCAGAAATACAGTTTTCTTCATCATTGATTTGAAGACAAAAAGGTTAGATTCTACACGTTAAAACAGACCTCGACTTAATGTATTCTGCTTAACTTTTTAGGTGGTTCTGTCAAGTGTAATGTGCGTTGCATGACATGCACGCGTGGGACAAGTAGAAACACCGAAATTTGTCCAAATTTAAAAATAGATTTCTTCGCTCTGAATCATTTCCCCAAAAAATCCTTTGGGAGTCTTAAAGAACAACTCTTTGACTTTTAAACACTAGGGGCGCTTTCCAGTTAGGGGAAAAAAAGCGGAAATTTCGGTGGGAGCAAAAGTGGAATTTCCGAGCGGTAAAAAGTTGTTCCATTTGGTCGTAAACCCCGGTACGTCGCAGTGCCCGACCGTGGACCTAGAACTGGTACAAACTACGACTACTAGGTGAAACGTGTAAATGGAACACGAAATTCCGTTCGGAAATTCCAACCGGGAAAACGGGTCCACCTTTTTAGATTTTCTACTTTTTCTGGGAATTTACCAGTGGGACGAACCGACGAAACGTGTTCCATTTACCGCCGAACCGGAAATCCGGAAATTTTGACTAAATGGAAAGCGCCCTTGTTTTCAACGAATTATACGCAGTACCACAAGCTTAAATAAACGGCTAATTTTAGATAAGTTTTAAAAAGTTCTATAGACGACACACATAGCGTAGAGCCGTCAATTTCAGGTTATTCTAAGTAAGACATTCTCGACATCACTGACTATTTCGTAGGTTAATCTCTACATATTCTGGTCAGCCTTACTAGCTTTACAGCAACACCTGGACACAACCCCTTCAATAATTTCCATATACGGCTGCTTGCGCTTGCTGAGCCATCGATGCTACATCCAGTTCTAAGGCTGCACAATTGTTCTGCAGTGTTCGTATCGAAAACTTTGCCAGCTTAGACTAACCTACGATCTCACACATGTTGTATGTTTCGTACATGATGGGATGCTGAAGAGCTAATGCTTTCGTTTCTTCGTTGGACATTTCTTCGATTGCCTTCTCTGTTATCAGCTCATTCCTTTCAGGTTCTTCCCCCTCACTGGATTGTTCCACACTCAGTACGTTTTCTTTGCTGACAAGCGAGAAAAAAATCCTGCTATTTGTAGTGGTGTGAGATCGCACTTGTCGAAGATATTAGAGCAATCATTATGCTTTACTCTTCGCATTGCCTTTGAGACGCTAGTTGGATCTGCTTTTTGCCCAGTGCGTTCTCCAGCTTGAAAGACTTCAGTCAGATAGTTTTTCTGCGCCACCGTGAGATTCTTTCTTTGTACTCCTGCTGACTTAAAAGCCCATCCCATCGGTAGCACGGAGCCATCACCCTCCACTGACATAGATGCACCATCATCAACTATTTCTGGTAGGACGCCAGGACCACGCTCCAGTTTGGTGACGTACGTGGTAATTGCCTTGTTATACAGCGTTTCCTGTTCCAGGGCATACTTGCCGTGTGTTAACCACAGTCCAGATGTTTTTCCAGCGATCAGTATTGTACAAAGGACTTGACGCATGTGACATCCCTCTTCTGGACAGAAAAACAGATCGCTTCCTTCGCCGTTACAGCTTTCATCGTCGTCGCTGTTATTTCTGTTCTGTGGAGCCTCTTCTAAAACCGGTTTTTGCTTTGGTTTACTCCTAGCTTTGGCAGTTTGGAAAGATACTTTAGCACTAGAACTCCGTTTCTGTTTGTTTAGCTGAGGAAGACTCCCCAACTTGTTGGCGGAAGTTGCTCCAGGGTACAAATTTCCCAGAGCCAATTCCGTAAGCTCTCCAAACATGCAAACCTTCCTTGGTGTATGCAATGTTGTTAATGAAACCAGCTCCCTCCCATTTTACTGGAGTAGACTTTGCAGCAGGTTGTGGCCCGCTCACTGTCACCCGGACACCAGAAATTCCGCCAGATGACTCAATGACCGTCGTCATTTGTGAGGCTGTCTCTATGTCGTCGCCTGAATTGAGATGGGTGGGCATGTTACTTTTAATTGTCGCGGCCTTACGATCACGAGATCCTTTTCCGCCTTGGGGGTCCGAAAAGTAAAAACGCTTTAGTTCAATTGTATGCTCGCAGGCAACATGGTAGACTGAAAGTAATGAAAACGCGCAATGATAGCATCCTGCGTTATCGCCCCTTATAAAAACAGAGTTGACTTCTGGCATGATTTCCCTAAGTTGACGAAAGACGTCATCAATAATGGCGAGTAACACGCGAATAACGCGCGTCGCAACTCTCTGTGTTTACAAACGTTTCACTAAAGCTGTTACAAAGTGAAGATTCCTACTTTTAGACTGCAAACAAATCTCTCGGTTCGCTCAAAACAAACAAAACCTGACACCTGTTTTTAAATTCTACCAACATTCTTAATTAATTTTATTTGGAAAAAAAGTGATAGCGACGACGTTTTTATCCGATTTCACGTGGTGTTTCCCGAGGGCAACGCCGCAAAATTTGTTTCGTTTCCTCAGGTAATGATTTTTCTATAGCGATCATATTTGTCACTCTTTTGCCTTTATTCGTTTTTTAAACAGGTTTCTGTTTTTCTTTCCTTCTTTTTTTACTCTGATATTTAATGAAAAAAATCGCTAAGATCCACTAGACACTTGTTCCATGTTCCAATCCCGCTTTTCTGTAGTTGTAGATTTCACTTGAATAAAGCAGTATTTCGCAACACCCACGTGATAACATATGTTTTTGACTTGAGGTCTCTTGGTTCCGCTTTCGTTTGCTGCTTAGTTCAAGACTAATGTTTCGGCAAAGAAGACTTACGAAAGGCACTCTAAGATCATTTTTGAGGAAAATGGAGGCAGTGAATACGCACAACAAAAACCAACGTCCAAAGCATGGAAAACAAACAATGCCACCGTGCCGCTATCATGTCGTGGGAAATGATTTTGAACTACTGGTTCACGAACCAAACGACACCGGCCTGCAGAAATACAGTTTTCTTCATCATTGATTTGAAGACAAAAAGGTTAGATTCTACACGTTAAAACAGACCTCGACTTAATGTATTCTGCTTAACTTTTTAGGTGGTTCTGTCAAGTGTAATGTGCGTTGCATGACATGCACGCGTGGGACAAGTAGAAACACCGAAATTTGTCCAAATTTAAAAATAGATTTCTTCGCTCTGAATCATTTCCCCAAAAAATCCTTTGGGAGTCTTAAAGAACAACTCTTTGACTTTTAAACACTAGGGGCGCTTTCCAGTTAGGGGAAAAAAAGCGGAAATTTCGGTGGGAGCAAAAGTGGAATTTCCGAGCGGTAAAGAGTTGTTCCATTTGGTCGTAAACCCCGGTACGTCGCAGTGCCCGACCGTGGACCTAGAACTGGTACAAACTACGACTACTAGGTGAAACGCGTAAATGGAACACGAAATTCCGTTCGGAAATTCCAACCGGGAAAACGGGTCCACCTTTTTAGATTTTCTACTTTTTCTGGGAATTTACCAGTGGGACGAACCGACGAAACGTGTTCCATTTACCGCCGAACCGGAAATCCGGAAATTTTGACTAAACGGAAAGCGCCCTTGTTTTCAACGAATTATACGCAGTACCACAAGTTTAAATAAACGGCTAATTTTAGATTAGTTTTCATCGCGATAAAAGTTGGTCGGGCAAATTAAATTAGATTTTAAAAGTAAACAGCCAAGAATTGATAAAAATTGCTTTAACGGTATTTTTTGACATCGGTCAACAATATGTGGTAGATCTTATTGCTCCAGAGTGTTTTACTTTGTAACGCGAGGCGTCTTAAATCGCCCTAAATTTCACGTCGAAAAGGCGGCGTTTTTACAAAATTCAGTGATTATCGATTTTCTCGAAAACTAATCGATACTTAGTGAAATGAACTATGCAGTGTTTTTTCTTATGTTACGGTCTACCTAACATGAGATTACACTCTTTTTTTATAAGAATATATTTTATAAGAATATCGAGGCTGAAATTTGCGAAATTTTAAGAATATTTC